TAATCTCTCAAGAAATAGTCATTATTTAAAATTGATAAAAAGCCATTAAACTTCTAAACGTTTATGTTAAGGTTTTAAAGAGTGAGAAGATACAACCAATCAGAAGAACAGTTCATACTTCATTGGATTAAAGGGGAAATACTAGGTTTGAAGAATATTTTTTATTTTGAAACAAAAAAAAAATAAAAGAATGAAATATAAACTATCAAAAGTTATATGTCAGATTTTGTGAGGTTTAACACTAAAGAGATAGACGATATTCACCACCCACTATTTCAAACAAAAATAAAAACAACTCAAGACATAATTCATAATGCATTTAAAACAGAGAAAACAATGTCTGAAACAATAAATAAAGTTGTTTCACGAGGAAGTGAATATTTATCATATTTACAAGAAGTTATTGATACTTTTGATTCGTTTAGAGATATGACAAATGAAAGTGAAGAATATAGTTCATTTCTTGATTCAACAAGAAAGTCTGTTGAAATACAACGTCAATTTCTTATGAAAGTGATTGATTGGAAAATACAAATGGATTTAATGATTAATAAACAATTAAGTAAATTTGAGATAAATGAAAAAGAGTATAATAAAGAGAGAAAAGTATATGATTGTGAGTTTAATAAATTAATTAAATCGAAAAATAGTTTAAATGAACGAGCTACAAGTTTAGAAAAAGGAATAGAAAATGCTACTATACGATTTTGTGAAGAAATGAATGCAACGATATGGAATTTTGGTCAAGTTATTCAATGTAATGGAATTCAATTCAGTGAAATAATCAATGAATGTATTTCAGAATGTAATAAAAATAATACTAAATCAATACCATCTAAGAAAATTATATTACATGAAGCAACAAAAGAAGTTATTCAACTTCCTAAAAACAAGAAAGGTGGAATATTAGTAAGTAAAGGGAAATTAGGATTAGGAACAAAACAATACTATTATATAAAAGGAAAGAATTTAATATTATTTAATGAAAAAAAAGGAGAGAGTATTGTTACTGATATTCTTACTTCATTAGCTAAACCACAAAATGATAATCATTCATTTGAATTAATTACACCAAGTCAACAAGATATTTATTATACAAGTTGTTTTAATGAAATGGAAAGATGGATTAAAATGTTTGATAAAGTTAAAAAAGATATTGAATATTACACTGATAAAAATGATATTAATGAAAGTATTAATCCAATTAATATTACTAAT